GGTCATCAGACCAATCACATCAGACTGGGTCATCAGACCAATCACATCAGACTGAGTTATCGGACCAATCACATCAGACTGGGTCGTCAGACCAATCACATCAGCCTGGGTCATCAAACCAATCACATCAGACTGAGTTATCGGACCAATCACATCAGACTGGGTCATCAGACCAATCACATCAGACTGGGTCACCAGACCAATAACATCAGACTGAGTTATCGGACCAATCACATCAGACTGGGTCATCAGACCAATCACATCAGACTGGGTCACCAGACCAATCACATCAGACTGAGTTATCGGACCAATCACATCGGACCAATCACATCAGACTGAGTCATCGGACCAATCACATCAGACTGGGTCACCAGACCAATCACATCAGACTGAGTTATCAGACCAATCACATCAGACTGGGTCATCAGACCAATCACATCAGACTGGGTCATCAGACCAATCACATCAGACTGGGTCATCAGACCAATCACATCAGACTGGGTCATCAGACCAATCACATCAGACTGGGTCATCAGACCAATCACATCAGACTGAGTTATCAGACCAATCACATCAGACTGGGTCATCAGACCAATCACATCAGACTGAGTTATCGGGTCATCAGACCAATCACATCAGACTGAGTCATCGGACCAATCACATCAGACTGAGTCATCGGACCAATCACATCAGAATGGGTCATTAGAAAAATCACATCAGACTGGGTCATTGAATCAATCACATCAGACTGAGTCATCGGACCAATCACATCAGACTGTGTCATCAGACCAATCACATCAGACTGAGTTATTGGACCAATCACATCAGACTGGGTCATCAGACCAATCACATCAGACTGAGTTATCGGACCAATCACATCAGACTGGGTCATCAGACCAATCACATCAGACTGGGTCATCAGACCAATCATATCAGACTGGGTCTTCAGACCAATCACATCAGACTGAGTCATCGGACCAATCACATCAGACTGTGTCATCAGACCAATAACATCAGACTGAGTTATCGGACCAATCACATCAGACTGGGTCATCAGACCAATCACATCAGACTGAGTTATCGGACCAATCACATCAGACTGGGTCATCAGACCAATCACATCAGACTGGGTCATCAGACCAATCATATCAGACTGGGTCTTCAGACCAATCACATCAGACTGAGTCATCGGACCAATCACATCAGACTGTGTCATCAGACCAATCACATCAGACTGAGTTATTGGACCAATCACATCAGACTGGGTCACCAGACCAATCACATCAGACTGAGTTATCAGACCAATCACATCAGACTGGGTCATCAGACCAATCACATCAGACTGAGTTATCGGACCAATCACATCAGACAGTCATCGGACCAATCACATCAGACTGAGTCATGGAACCAAACATCTCAGAATGGGTCATTAGAAAAATCACATCAGACTGGGTCATTGAATCAATCACATTAGACTGAGTCATCGGACCAATGACATCAGACTTGGTCATCAGATCAATCACATCAGACTGGGTCATCAGACCAATCACATCAGACTGGGTCATCAGACCAATCACATCAGACTGGGTCATCAGACCAATCACATCAGACTGAGTTATCGGACCAATCACATCAGACTGGGTCATCAGACCAATCACATCAGACTGGGTCATCAGACCAATCACATCAGACTGGGTCATCAGACCAATCACATCAGACTGAGTTATCATGCCAATCACATCAGACTGGGTCATTAGACCAATCACATCTGGTTGGGTC